AATATGGATATACAATTATTGGCGAAAAGTCGTCATTGCTTACCTGGTACATTACTAAATATATGAATAAAGCGGGAAAATGTGAGTTGTCTGATACTATTATTAATATTAAAATAATACGAATAAATCATTGATGAGCTATCTTTGGAGTATTGCCTTGCGATTTACGAGTAATAGAGAATGTGGAGCTCTTGAAGCTGCTGATACATTACTGGGTATTGCTTTATGTGAAACTGATCCAAATACAACTATTAGATGGTTAGATGTTAATCGAATAAGATGTAGAAAATTAAAAACTCGTAAAGAAATTGAAGCACTTGATGATCAATCGACAGATATATTTTGTGAATCTTTAATAGATAATCACTATCCACAGAGACCAAAAGAACTAGAATGTATATTTCTTTATGAGTTTGCAAAATGGTATTGTAACATGGGCTTAACCCATGTTACTAGTCGCGCAATCGGCCACGACGATCGGCCGCGCATCGAGCCGCCGGCCGCAATACGTCACCGGAATACGGCCGCCGAGTGGAGCGGCCGGGTATATAAAGCCGTCGCTCCGGCCAGTAGGAACCGATCCCGGTCTGCAGTGAGCACGCTGCAGATCTCCCGAGCCACCGGGGAGCACTCCGACTCGGCTCTTCCTAGCAATCCGTTCCTATTAGGACAGGGAGCACTCTGTCCACGCCGGGAGCACTCGGCATCCGTTCACCATCCCTCTCAAGACAGGGAGCACCCTGTCTCCGTCGGGAGCACTCTGTCTCCGTCGGGAGCACTCGACGTCCTGTATACACCGTCTGTTCCTCCGTAGATTTAAGTATTCTTTAGTTCGCATTTTCTAGCTTGTATCCTCTAGTTTGTATTCTCTCGTTTGTATTCTCTAGTTTATATTCTATTTTCTAGCTTATATTCTATTTTCTGGTTTGTATTCTCTAGCTTATATTCTATTCTCTAGCTTGTATTTTCTAGCTTATATTCTATTCTCTGGCTTGTATTCTTTAGCTTATATTCTATTCTCTAGCGTGTATTCTCTAGCTTGTATTCCCTAGCTTGTATTCTTCCGCGGCGTATCGTAACCTTTTAGTTACTCCCGCTTTTGTACGCTTATCTTGTGCTTCCCCGCTTTAGACCGTTCAGCTTGCGCTCTCGCTTATGCACCACTTATTACGCGCACCCGCTAATTCAATGGCTATCGCTTGCGCCATTTAATTGCTTTGTAAATGTATTACCAACTCTTCTATTTAAGAATATAGTTGTTTTGTTACCCTAACTGGTCTACTTGATTGGAGTCTCTCTATCTGACCGCTTATCCCGAATCCTGGCACCAACGAGCTATTCCGCGCTTAGCTACAAGACCGCGAGATAAATTCGCACCGTTACAGTATAATATCACAAAAATCAAACCACGAAATGAGTTTATTGAATTCCATAAAATAAATAATGGTTATCTTAGACGACGACAGCGTGGATATCTTATTAATCATTATAGATATAATATTAATACACAACCGGAAAAGTATTTCTTTGCATTATTGTTAAAGTTTTAGATGGGTAAACAACAGAAAACACGACTATACACGTTGCGTGGTATAACTAGACTAACTTATTATTTGCTTCTTATAAAAAGAAAAAGTATCCGCGAGAGGGATAACAATACGAGACGCCTAACAGCTTAAAAACAAAATACTAATACAAGGAGCGCTGTAGGACAGAGATATTTTATTCATATAAAAGAAAGCAAAGTAGCGCGAATTATAAAAATAAGAAACACAAAATGTGAGAGCTTTAAATTAGTTTTAACAATTATTACTTCTGTTTAAACCGTGGAGAAAATTAGAAGAGCTTAGAAATGGATGTGATACCTCTGCAGAATCATTTCACAAGGTGAAACTACATTTAACGGAAGCATTACAATATCATGAAAAACTAGAAGAATTGCAAAAAGCATTTGAAACTGCTAAAGAGTTAGTTCAGCAATATTTAGATAAAGTACAAAAACAACATGAGTCACAGGATGATCCTGACAATCCAATAGGTGTTCAAAATATAGAAGCTGGTGAAGCGATGCAAGATTTTAAAGATCTTGATGATAAGAATAAAGAAATCGATGTATCAGAAATGATAGCGAAATTAAATATGAATCAAAAAAGAGTATTCGATAGAGTTATTACCACTGTAGGGTCAGATAATTCAATATTGCGATTATATGTTAGTGGAGAAGGTGGTACTGAAAAAAGTTATTTAATTAAAACTATAAAATGTTGGATAAAACAAAATCTAAAAAAGATACTGCTGTTGCAGCACCTACTGGGATAGCAGCATTTAATATAGATGGTTTGACAGTTCATAGATTGCTTCAATTACCTGTTCAACATGGTAATACTCCTAAATACAAACGATTGTCTGATCATGTGTTAAAACTTTTACGAGCAGAGCTTAATGATGTTATTCTTTTTGTAATTGATGAAGTATCAATGATATCTAATTTGACTCTGTAGCGACACCTCCGATCTTGTCGCTCCACTCAAATATATTTTTTTTTGGCGCGGGTTTTGGGACATCGCAAGGAGTTGGAAATAATCACGCTGATTAGAATTGTAAAGTCAACCACACAACAGAATTTATTGCTAATTTACTCACTCTTACATCTATTGATGAAGTTTTAGTTTAGACTCTCGGGAGCGGAATACAAATGTTCGATACAGCGAGATCGACTCGATTGACTGCTAAAAGGCCGTCTTACTCCCGATCGTCAAGCAAATAAAAAAAATTCGAGTTTTTCCGTCGTCAGACCACGGGCGCGCGCGCCGAAGAAATCACGATCTTAGCACGTGGTAGCGATTCCAAAACAACCGATCACGCGGCTGTCACAATACAGGGCCGTTGATTTAATCGCTCTTCATCATATTAAATATAATATCTCGTATATTTATGCCTGCCTGAACATGCCGCCCGCCTCGTATCCGAAACGGTACGATAAAGATTTCCCTTGTCTCAATCTATCGAAAGACGAAAAATTTGCGAGATTAATCTCACGAACTCAGAATCTTTAGTTTTTACACTAACAATACGGACATGTCCATCGTCGCCGGGTTGCGTAGAGATAACACGCACAAGAGCCCATTTGGATGGCGGTAACAAATTATTTCGTAAGAGCACGAGTTCTCCTGGTTTAATATCCGGGAGCGAGCACATCCATTTGGGCCGTTGCTGTAAGGTGTGCAGGTAGTCGCAGGACCACGCGTTCCAAAAATGTTTGAGCATCGAACGAACACGTTGATAGCGGGAAAGGCGATTTTCTTGTACGTCCATTACTGATTCTTCGGGAACGGTGAGGAGAGGGGCTCCAATGAGGAAGTGCCCTGGAGTAAGCGTCGTAAAATCATCGGGATCGTTAGTCATGGTAGAAATCGGTCGCGAATTCAAGCATGCCTCTACTTGACAGAGAAGGGTGGAAAATTCTTCTGTCGATAGCGTATGCTTGCCCACAATGCGCCTTAAATGGTGTTTCATGCTCTTCACCCCCGCCTCCCAAATACCGCCGAAGTGGGGCGCAGCGGGGGGAACAAAGTGCCACGTAGTTCCATCGATCGCTAAAAGCAAGCCGAAATCCGAATCTTTGACGATATTCCGGAATGTATTTGCCAATTCTCTCTCTGCTCCTTGAAAGTTGGTCCCGTTGTCACTGTAGACATTGTTGGGGATGCCGCGACGCGAGACAAAGCGTTTAAATGCTGTGAGAAAAGCCTCGGTAGATAAGTCGGAGACTAACTCAAGGTGTATAGCGCGGGTCGCCAAGCAAACGAATATGGACACGTAAGCCTTGTGTGAATGTTGTCCTCTCCCCTTTTTCCATAAAACGGCAAATGGTCCCGCATAGTCAATGCCCGTGTGTGTGAACGAGCGAGATGGCGAGACACGTGAAGCTGGAAGACTTCCCATAATTTGCGTCGGAATTAACGCTCGTTGGCGAGCGCACGGGACACAGCGATGAATAGCCGACTTGACTAAGTTTCTTGCGCCGATAATCCAATAGTTCTGTCGGATGAACCTGATAGTCAACTGTGGCCCTCCATGTAACGTGTGTTTGTGGGCATGATCGATGATCAAGTCACTGATACGATGACGAGGCAAAATAATTGTCGCTCGAAAAATGCGAGAGGGGCATTTTTTAGCCGCCCGCCGAGCCGGATCGTATCGTTTTCGTCGAGGAATGGCGTTAATTTTATTAGAGGACTTCGAGATGATATAGGTTGCTTTCGACGTAGCTTCTTATATTCTGAGGCGAAAAGACTGAGCTGAGCTTGTTTGCACCAATCGATGCGTGCTTCGGACAATTCAGCGGCGGTAAGGCGAGAATCGGTTCCCGCGGTACTTGACCGTTTCGATCGTGCACAAGCGATAAATCGAAGGACATATGCGGTCACTCGAAGTAGGCGCGTCCATGATGATAGCCGATGAGGAAGATCATCGAGCGCAAGCGGTTGCGGCATGTCGTTGATATGTGCGACAGCAGCCTTGCAAGTTTCGGTGTTGACACCACGGGTAATTTCGTCAAAACTCTTGGGAGTCTGACGGGGCCATAACTTCGACGACTGTGTCAACCAAGTCGGGCCCGACCACCATAGTTTGCAGGACGATAGATCAGCCGGAGTGATGCCGCGGGATGCAATATCCGCGGGATTCGAGCCAGTCGGAACGTGACACCAAGTAGCTGACGGTAGTTCTGTTTGAATTTTCGACACTCGATTTGCTACAAACGTAACCCACGTGGAGGGATGTTTTTTAAGCCATTTGAGAACGATTGTCGAATCAGTCCAGCAATAGGTTGGAATACTAGAGAGCTGCATTGTTTCAATAACGTATTGTAGCAATTTGACGAGTAATACGGCACCGTTTAACTCCAAACGCGGGACAGACAGAGTTTTAATTGGCGCCACTTTAGATTTGGCTGCGATAAGCATAACCTCGACGTCATTTGAACAGGTAATTCTCATATACACCACGGCACTTATAGATTTAAGTGAGGCGTCGGAAAAACCGTAATATTCGATACTGCTCACATGTTTGGATTGTCCGGTCCAGCGGGGTATCCGAACTTCGGTGAGAGACCGGAGAGAATCGCGATAAGTTTCCCAACGTGTGCTGAGATCTGCTGGAAGCGGCTCATCCCAGCCGCATGTCCTAATCCACAATTCTTGCATCAGGCTCTTAGCAATAATGACTACCGGCGTAGCCCATCCAAGGGGGTCGAAAATTCTGGCTATGGCCGAAAGAATCGAGCGTTTGGTCGCTACCGCAGTGGGCAGGAGCGAAATATGGAAGGAGAAGGAATCATTTCGTGGCAACCATGAAATGCCGAGAACTTTGATGTTGTTATCCTCTTCTAAGGAGTGATCCATGTTGATAGCTCGATCATTAGGCGGTACATCTTCGAGCATTTCGGTAGCGTTGGCCGCCCATTTTCGCAGACAGAATCCGCCCGCCGCGAGCATATTGACTAATTGAACTCTCATTGCATTGGCCGTATCAATATCGCCGGCACCAAATAAAATGTCATCGACATAAGTCTCGTGTAGTAGAATGGAACGTGCAAGAGGAAATTGATGGCCTTCATCTTCGACAAGTTGGTGTAATACCCGTATCGCGAGGTATGGCGCGGGAGCTGTACCATACGTAACGGTACGTAGACGATACGACTGGATGGACGATTGCGACGACGGTCGCCACAGAATGCGTTGGTAATCGGCGTCTTCGGGATGCATCATTATCTGCCTAAACATTTTCTTAATGTCGGCAAGATATACGTATTTATGTTGTCTCCATCTGATTAGTATAGACATCAGATCAGTCTGTAGCTTGGACCCGGTATGAAGATGGTCATTAAGGGAAGTTTTATTCGATGTAGCACACGACGCGTTAAATACGACCCTCAATTTAGTCGACAAACTTTTGCTCTTCACCACGGGGTGATGCGGTAGGTAGACGACGGTGTCGTGAGACGACTCTGGACCGGTGACCAGCTCCATATGTCCCAAGTCTAGGTACTCCTGAAGAAACGCATTGTATGACGCAGCGAGATTAGCATCGCGCGATAGCCGCCTCTCGAGTTTGTCGTACAATCGAGTCGCGATGCAGCGTAAATCTCCAATATGTGGAGGAAATTGTTTAAAGGGAAGGCGAACAATGTATCGCCCGCTCTCCCTTCTTGCGTGAGTGGTACGGAAATGATTCTCGCATTTCTCCTTGTCCGCGGTAAAGCTTGGTTTCATGGGAACCTCTTCAGTCTCCCAGAATCGCACGAGAATTTGGTTGAGCTCAATGTCCATGGTATTGACTGTCGCTACGCAAGCTGATGCATTGGAATCGATATCGCGAGTAGGGCCAGTGACAATCCAACCAAAGATCGTTGACTGGGCCGTGGGACTGTCGAACGGACCTTTTCGAAATCCATCTAGTAATGTGGCTCCGTATAGATCCGCTCCAATTAATATTTGTATCGGAGTTCAATCGGTGAGATCAGTATCGGCTAGGTCAAGTCCTTGTAAATGCGGCCAGCCAGAGACCGGGCTGCGCTTCGAGGTACCGTATAATGTTATCCGATTAAACACGTAGGCCGTGACTGGGAGAGAAATGTCGTTTGTTGTGCACGGCTCGAGCGAAAGTCGTATCATCGTTTTCGCCGTGCCGGAATATTGGGCGCCAAAACACGTCACGGGCAAAGTCGTCCGTTGGCGGGATGTGTGCAGCGATTGAGCCAATGTCTCCGTGATAAACGTATGAGTAGCTCCTTGGTCGAGTAACGCGCGTACTCGTACTATTCGATTTTCGTAGGTACGCAAATTCACCCACGCGGTGGCGAGTAGCACGGTAGAATTTTTCGACACGGTGACGCAGTGAGCACTGACGGACTGGCAGCTTGTGTTTTCGCGGCGCTTGCGTCAGCAGAGTGATGGTCGGAAGACGGCGCTCTCTCATTAGTCTTGTTATTGCGGTGTAAATACGTATGATGCGCTTTGTCGCATTTAAAACATTTCTGTGGATTTTTACACGCACTGGCGGAATAACCGAGTCGCATTCATACAACATTTTAATTTTTTTCGCTAGGGCGAAACGTTGATTAATGTCCAAGGGGACGAATTGATTGCATTGATAGAGTAAATGCTTTTCCGAGCAAGTCGGGCATTTACGGAAATCTTGTACGGACGCGTTATTCGCAGTATGAATTTTCGCTTTGCAGTTACACGACTTCCGGATACAGTATCGCTCGCAATCGAAGGATTATCGTCGTCGAGACCTCTAATTCGCTTTGAAATAAACTTTAGAAACGTGTCTAGTTCAGGAGGATCGTACGAATCCCCCAATTCCATTTGCCACTCCTGACGAGTGCGAGGAAGCAATTTTTTAGTAATAAATATAGTAATAAGTATAAAAATCAAAGGATCGCTCCATTTATCGACAGAACGCCCGAGATTTGACAACGCCTCAATCGCTGATTTTGTTACATTGCGTAGATTTCGAAGCGCGCTAGCTGATTCGGTTTTTACAATCGGTAAGTCAACGATCGCTTGCAAATGAGAATTAATAATTAGACGTGTATTCGCATATTCGCTCGTCAAGGCCTTCCATGCGGGCTCGAAATTATCTTCGGTGATTTTAAAATTGCGCAATAAAGCGGCAACATCGCCCTTAAGTTTGGACACTAAATAATGCAACCGCGTGACATTATTTAGTGACGAATTATTTATCACAAGAGTCTCGAACATGTCATGAAAATGAGTCCACTTTAAACGATCACCGGAAAATTCGGGGAGTTCGATACGGCAGAGTTTCATCGCGGAATTGTTTGCAACTGCCGTGTTAACTGAGCTGGTGTCACCTGAGTGTCCCGGGATGGAGGGCTTTTCGGAGAGCGTCTCGATGAAATCGGCCATGTAGTCGGAAGCGTCGAGATACTCCGCCTCAGCAAGAAGGAATGTACCTCGTTTAAATAGTCCATCTGCTCTCTTTCTTCCTTGGAAGTCCCTTGAAGGAGTTGTATGTGGACGAGCTGAGTCTTCTCCCACAGCTTCTCCAAGGCATCGAGACGATGCTTCACCTTGGCGGCCGTGAGATTGCTCGCACCGAGTTTTTTCAAATTTGTTACCGAACGAGAGATTTGTCCGATAAGAACGTCTTGCTGCGTGATCAGCTTTTTGAGCGTCGCCATAATGAATAAACACTAAAGTTCACTGACTGTACGGCACTAAATGTCCACCGTGTATATAGGTCGTTCGCGTCAATCACGACAACTTATTTACTTGCGAAGGAATGCATGCGCGACAAGAGCAGGTTATTCGCGTGAAATTATTCTCAAGGTCGCTCAACCCGGCACTTAAACGCGTGTTGTTGCGCAGTATAATTATCACTGCTTTTTGTAATCCTACGCGCCAAATACACGGCGCGCAAGCACTCAATGGAATGTCAATGTTCGCTAATGTGCACTGAGAAAGTCACGACTCTTTTCGACGTCCACCCGCTGAATCCGGCTCGAAGGACCATTAAAAGTAGCGACACCTCCGATCTTGTCGCTCCACTCAAATATATTTTTTTTTTGGCGCGGGTTTTGGGACGTCGCAAGGAGTTGGAAATAATCACGCTGATTAGAATTGTAAAGTCAACCACACAACAGAATTTATTGCTAATTTACTCACTCTTACATCTATTGATGAAGTTTTAGTTTAGACTCTCGGGAGCGGAATACAAATGTTCGATACAGCGAGATCGACTCGATTGACTGCTAAAAGGCCGTCTTACTCCCGATCGTCAAGCAAACAAAAAAAAATTCGAGTTTTTCCGTCGTCAGACCACGGGCGCGCGCGCCGAAAAAATCACGATCTTAGCACGTGGTAGCGATTCCAAAACAACCGATCACGCGACTGTCACAAGACAGGGCCGTTGATTCAATCGCTCTTCATCATATTAAATATAATATCTCGTACATTTATGCCTGCCTGAACAGACTCTAATGTACATACATTGTGACGTGACGCTTTCCGTCGCGCCCGTCACAAGGGCACTAGCCCGGCCAAAGGGGGCGGAATTTGGAGTTGCGTCCCCCCGGTCGAGGAGGGAGCGATTTCTCCCGCTTCGACGGGTCTTGCGCTTTTATTTAATTGTTATAATCTACCAACAAACTTAGGATTTTAGCGTTAGGGTGTATGGTCAATTTATCGTTTTGTGTAACTAACGTCAAGAAGAAGCGAACGCCGTGGGATTTCGAAAGATGACCTCGACAGTAAAGAGGAAGCCTGGAAAACATACGAAACCAAGGTCATGTATCGAGTCTCGCGTTAAACATTGTCATAGTAGCAGTTACCGATCCTTCAATTTTGCAGGACCGAGGTTACGGGGAAGCCCCGACAAAGGTCCAGATAGAGGGAGCACGGCAGTGCAACCGGATGCCAAAAGACGTTGCTGCTATCACCGAGAGTCCAAACAGACGGTCGATGTAGCCATGGCCTGGCCAGCCGGGCAGATCGAACCGGAGGACGGCAAATTCAGAGGCCCTTATTTTGAAGTATCGGCCGTTGGCGAGCAAGAAGGCAAGGATAAACAAATGAAGAATAAACAATTGACGAAGTCGGAGCTCTTTACGATCGACAGGCGACTCGAGGAAAAATTATAAACAGAGTGCGCTGACCGATGCGTGGAGACTCAACATGGGCCAGGGGAACCTCAGAGAAACCACTGTTTGACGAGCCAGCAACCGGGAAGGAGCAGCTCCAGAGGAGGGTCCCGACGAGCGTAGCCGTACCGTCTTTGTAAGGCCATCACCCAGGGTAGATATAATTTTGTAATACCGGCCAAAGCGGACGCCTCCGACACATTCGTTACTGACAGTTACCGCTAAAGTACCGTGATTATTCTTGAGTATCGAAATAAGAAGTGCGCTATCGCTTCCCGTGAATTTCTGAGTCGGAGGTTAGCTGGTTACCGTGTTACTGTAGCTCTCTTCGAGGCGCTGAGCCGTCGACAGTCCAAACGCTCGTAGTCCGAGAAAGACTTATATTGTTACCGTCTCCGTCTTACCGGAGTTATCAGTTATCGTTTGCCGGATTATATTGTTACTGTCTTCGTCTTACCGGAGTTATCAGTTACCTGTTACCGTATGTTACCATTGTCTTGAGAAAATACCGTTTGATAAAGTTGATAGAGAATTCGAGTCACGGAATTTGCGTGGAGTGCAGTGCCGTTTTGCCGCGAGAGTTTGAATTTGGCCTTGGGGCGTAACGATCAACTCGTTGCGGAAACTTGAGTGCCTCTATCGAAATTACTGTCGAGATTACCTTTTGTCGGCTACCGAAATCCATATATTACCGTTAGTACGGATTTGGCCTTGGAACGTCGTCTCTATGCGAGATTCCGGGTTCACGCCTTTAAAGAAACTGGACGTCTCTGGCAGGACTCCCTCTGTCTCCGTGTCTTACGGTGTTACTGTTTTGGGGCCTGTCCTGGAGCGTCGTTTCTTGGCGGAATCTCGGGGGTCGCAGTTTTGGAAGGAGACTGGAACGTATCTGGCAAATCTATTGCCGTATCGGTTACCGTAACGTTTCTCTGAGTATTGTTTTGGCTTATCATTCCGATTGCCGCTTTTGATTGTCGTTTTGCGTTCCGATTTTCGTGTTTGAATATCGTCGTAGGTAACGTTTTCGACTACCGTTTTGCGTATCGTACTCGGAATATCTTTTGGAGTGCCGCTTTGATTGCCGATTCTAAGTATCGTTTTACGTATCATTTCCGAGTATCGTTTTGAGTATTGTTTCGACTGTAGTCTTCGAGTACCGTTTCTCGAGTGTCGTTCTTGGATACCGTCTAGAGTAACGTCTTGGGAAGTATCGTTCTTGGTTATCGTTTTGAGTATTGTTTTCTGTGACGCCTGTTTGGCGAATATGATGTTTTGATTTGCGTGCGATACCGACTCTCTCAAAGAGATTCTAAAGCTTGTTCAGCTCTGTTAATTCACGATTCTGTATTAATAAGTGTTGTTAACTTTTATTGTTAAACGTGGTGTTTTTCTGACGACATCTCCTCTCCAGAATCTCCAATAGAAATCAAAAGAACTACGCCCCTCTGCCATATACTGAGCGGGGAGCGGCCGGACAAATTAAAAGAATTATTGAAGTTACCGTTACCGTGGTGCGATTATACGCACCTGGCGCCCATTTCCGGATACCGATTTTGCGAGTTACCGAGTCGAGCATCTATTGCCGATACCGCGAGTTACCAAATCGAGCATTTATTGCCGATACCGCGAGTTACCGAGTCGTGCATTTACTGCCGACGCCGC